TTCTTATCTATCTATCTATCTATCTATCTATCTATCTATCTATCTATCTATCTATCTGGTAGAGTGTTCATTATCGGAGATTGAACGTTTGCAGATAGAGAAAGGGTGTATATAGGGATCTCCCCTGCATGGTCACAGTCATTTTCACGCATCAAAGATGTTCAGGTCACGGTTGAAGCGTGAAACACGTAGTCACCATGGAATTAGTAAGTAAATACCAACATAAATGCAGTCATATCTATCTCAGTTTTCTTTTTTCTTTTTTTACAGTTGTACGTCTCTGTATGTGCATGTCATATATGCAAATATCTCTTTGTATTGTATATGTGGGTTTATCTAACTGTTTGCGTCTCTGCACTGTTCTGTCCGCCCGTGTCTGTGGTAATTATTTATTTGTATCATTTCACACGTAACTGCATGTAAATTCTATGACACTGACAACATTAATATAAGAACTGAATTGACTCGAACGAAGACATAAATTTTAGACAGATTCTTTACAAATTTGGTCCAGATGAGCGCCAAATTATCCGTAAACTGGAAAAAATATGAGAAATTGAACAAATTTTATCGACTGAATTTAATACAAATAAATCGAAATTATATAAAATAAAATGTAAGAAATGAACCGAACAAGTTTTCTTAAATTCAACTATGTCGGCCTGCTTAATTTTTGTTCAAATTTTCGAATATCGGGATCAAAATTTGTACAAACTTCATATTTTATTCTGATTTTGTTCAAGTACTTTCCGCCGTCTCAGTCATTATCAAGAACTGGGTATTGTTAACATATGTACGTATTAACTATTTTATACACACTTAAATGTAGTGTCTCTTGTGATGAAAGTTTATTTAATGTGGGTTCTTCCTTTTGTATAATATAGCTTTTAGAATTTTCCATCTATTCTTACACACACAGGCACACGCAGGCGCACACACATATATGTATGCAGTGAGTGTGTTAGAGAGAGAGCGAGAGAGAGAGAGAGAGAGAGAGAGAGAGAGAGAGTGACGGAAAGAGAAAGATACAGATATAGAATCAATTTTTTCTCATATATATATATATATATATATATATATATATATATATATATATATATTATTATCCCTCAACAATAGCACGATTTGGGGTTTCATACATAAGGCAATATTCAGGTGGTGACTATAGACTGGCCGTTACGTAATTTAAAATTTTAAAAATATATCAGGTTATCGTATATATTATACTGGCATTACAAAAACAAACCGTAATTTTCACAAAAAATAAACCATGATTAATATTAAAAATTAATCTGGATCAACGTATTTAAGCCGATATTTATTTTTAGGTCTATATGTAACCATCAGTTCATTTCTCTTAATAAGCTATGGTTATTTAAGTTTTTTAAGATAACAAATTTTTCAGCAAGACATAAGTTATATTTATTTCCTTTTCCCTTAAAAGATTTGGCTCTTGTTATAATATCCCAGTTGATTGATGGTGATATGCCAAGAATTTCTTTAATTGCCAGAAATATTTGGAGAGGGCAGAGCTGTCTTTGCACTTTATATTACTTAAAGTCATACGGTGATGGTAAAAACAAGATTTCCTAGGATTTTCAGTCGAACCAAAATAAAATTTAACATTGTTACCGGAATATATGTTCGCTCGGTATACAATATTATCAGTCATACATTAACTGTTTAAGGGACAGATCATATTTTTTTCAGCAGTTGCATTTCTTTTTTTAAAAATATTTATGTTGTCTTAGATGTAAATATATTTGTTTAATATAATGTTGTTATGCTGGGATATGGTTTTATTTAGGTTATTAAAATGCTTATGGATTAAATTTAGAAAAATTCTTTCGATATTAGTTTGAACATTACGATTAAAAGGTGAATTGAATCATACGGTGTTTCTGTTTATTATCTTTGTTTTTTTCTTAATAATCTAAATTTACTTTATGATTGCTTAGTTCTAAAGCCTTTATACGATTGATTTTATTATTATCAAATATCTCCTTATAACTGGAGTTGGTAGATAATCTAATTTCGACTGATTTATGTAAATTATCTAGAATTTTGTTGTGGTGGTGGTTAGATTCTTTACTGACGTATCTATGGTTATATAACTCTTCGGTATATGGTTCGTAATAACTATTATTCAAGTTGAAGGTCACATCGAGAAAATTGAACACTTTAGCATTGACGGTAGTGGTAATATTTAATTCGTGATTTTTAAAAAAATCAGTTCCTTTCTCAATCAGTCTATATTTTGTGGGCTTGTTTTACAGAGGAGAATTACACCGTTATCTCTATAGAGTCCGGTGTCTTTAATGTCAAAAGTAAATCTAAGTCTCCTCAATAATAATATTCCAATTAATTCGTATACCTCTGCTGAATCAAATGCTCCAATTGCAATATTAAATTCTGGGTTATTCTTTTGGTCCACAGGTAACTATTATGGAATAATATTAGATTTTGTGCGTGCTTTATGATATTCATTTTGCGATCGCCTACAGGGCAATAATATTTTTGTTAGATTTACAATAGCCATTAGGAAATTCTCGGTGATGGACGGGTAAAAAAGCCACAAATATCGAATTGGATGAATGTATATTCATTCTTCCTTTTTATATTAGAAAGGCATTCTATAGCTTTTGCTGTCTGATGCCATTGGTTAAGTTCAAGAGCATTTTTGGTGTATTTGCATGCTCTTTCAAGGATTTTTTTGCTGATTTTACCGATATTATTTTTAGCTAGGTTAAGTAATCGGTACTGAGGTTTCTTTAGGAAATTTCCCAACGGGTCTTTAACTATAATGAATGCTTATTGCTTGTGGAATTTGTGGATCCTATTATCAATTTTAAGATCAGTGGCTATTTTCCGGGCTTCACTATTGATATTATTTTACCAGTTGTCAGACGCCATTTCATAAAATATATATAATATATATATATATATATATATATATATATATATATATATATATATATATATATATATATGTGTGTGTGTGTGTGTGTGTGTGTGTGTGTGTGTGTGTGTGTGTAGGTATGTAGAAAAATAGGAAAGAGCACGTTAGGTAAAATTTAAAAAAAAATTATAAATATATATATATATATATATATATATATATATATATATATATATATGTGTGTGTGTGTGTGTGTGTGTGTGTGTGTGTGTGTGTGTGTGTGTGTGTGTGTAGGTATGTAGAAAAAAATAGGAAAGAGCACGTTAGGTAAAAATTTTAAAAAAAATTATATATATATATATATATATATATATATATATATATATATATATATATATATCAGTGGTGCCCAGCGTTCAGGTCAAGTACATTTTTTTTGTTTTGCTACGCTAATCATTTTTTAAAATGATTTTCATATACTTTAAAATGTTAATACTGAATGTGATGTAATTAAAGGAGTTCGATAGTTTTAAACATTATGGTAGATGTTTATTTTATATCAGTCATGTAAGCATAATTTTGGAATTAAAAAAAAAGTCCTGCCAATATCACTTAATTCTACTTTATTCGTCGTTTAAACCCAAAGCTGTGATCTAAAAAGGCAAACGTCGTTACTATTTTCAGAACAGAAAATTGCTTTCTTTGAATAAATATCGCGCACGAATAAAGTGACTTTCCGAGCGTGCCTTAGATATGGCCGAAAGTATGGTGCATCTCGCGAGGATCGAACTCACTACACAGTCCTAATTGTTCTAGCGAGACAAGCTTGATAACTATTACACCGCCTCGAGGTGCAAATCGCATATGAGTAAAGATAATAAAACAAACAAAAAACCCCAAAAAACAGTGGAGCGATATATAACAAAATATAGATAATCATTTTCTGTTGAACCGTGAAGTTGAACGTGATAGAAATAAATTCTGTTAATGATAACTAACAAAATCTCATTTATTTGATGTGGCAATCTTAATTAACTTTTCAGGGACGCGCGCTAGTATTGAGATTCATATAAATTTTTGTGTAATTTATTCATTATTTATTTTTATTTGCTTAATTTATTTTTTATTGTTTTATTAAATTCAGTCAACAACGCATGCTGAATTTCTTATATTTTTCCAATTTACGGATAAGTTGTCGCACATCCGGATCAAATTTGTGTAGAAATTACCCGAAGTTCATATCTTTATTGGAGTACATTTGACCATTTCCGGTCATTAATAAGAAGGTTAATGCTGCCAGTGTCATAGAAGAAATAGTATTAGTTTCATCTTGCCATTTTTAGGAACGCTGCATTTGATCCGAATCAGGAACAAGTTATTTGTAAATTGGAAAAATATTATAAGAATTTTAATCACGGCACTCCTTGTCGATTGACCTTAATAAAGCTTGATTTATCGAATCCTTGTTGACAAAATATCACTCACTCACACACACACACAAACACACACATACACACACATACACACACATACACACACACATATATATATATAAGTCTTGAAGATTGAGAGCTGCTTTTTTAGAGCATTCGTGAAATAAAAAATTTTACCTATAGGATTTTAAGTGTTTGATATTCTTTAATTAATAATTTTGCTCTGTCTTTTGACATAGAGCTTTCCCGGGATCTATATCCTCCTGGAAATTCCATACAGATTACCATATTGTGTCATTACTATATATATATATATATATATATATATATATGGCCAATTATAGAATAAGGGATAAAAATAAAAACAATGAATTTTAAATGCAACTCGACCTTCGCCGCCATTGATTTGTTTTTTACGGTTTATTGACTTTTTTCGGGATATTTTAAAGCCAGAAAATATTTTTGATGGTATGATTTTTTTGGAGATGATAATGATTTATTGAAACAATTACTAATTAACCCATAGCTGGGGGTAGATTAGGTGGATTCATACATTTTCTACGGATATTTGCGCCTAAGTGAATATAATATACCCGACCGGAATTAGAACTGAGTTCTCCGATTTCCAATGCCGGGCCATTATCCATTACACCCTCCGCACATCCAAGCTGGTATTCCCAAGCGGTCACCTATCTAGATACTGGCCACACTCAACTTTGCTTAACTTCGGTGATCTTACGAGAATAGGTATTAGGATGTTATATGGCCGTAATCCTGAGTTTCGCCTACCTGGGCCTTTGAAGAGCCAAACAGGCAAAACCCAAGTTGTCTCTGAGCAGCGCTGATTTTATTTGTTTATTTCTTATTTCGTCATAGTCAGTCTGGCCCATACTATTCCGATAATTTGAATTTATATATATATACATATGCAAAAACACTTTTAGAAATAAATAGAAATAGATGAATTGAACTTTATATTTATTTTATAATGTTTTGAAATCGCAGTTAATGGGCGGCTATTATAAAGTGCAGTAAATTTAAGTGATATTTAAAGAAAGCGTATAGTAATTCGGAACGGGGAACAAATTTAAATTGTGACATCCGGCGTTAGGACGATGACAAAGGAAAAGTCAGAAAATGGTTTTAAAACGTAACAAAAACAATCGTTTATCGTTCATTTCCAACGCCAAACAATTGTCAGGCATTACAGTCTATCCGAAAATCGGGTTTCATTACATAACGTGTGTCCAAACCAAAATAAAGACGTTGTCAATTTAAGTGCCTTGACAGGACTGGACAAAGTATCAGATTCATTTAAAAGTTCATATTGAATACGAAAAACATTGGAAAAGAAAATTTATATATATATATATATATATATATATATATATATATATATATATATATATATATATATATATGAGTGTGTGTAAAGTTTTAGAACTATATATATATATATATATATATATATATATATATATATAGAGAGAGAGAGAGAGAGTGAGGGGGAGAAAGAGAAATCTATTCGAAAATAATAATATGAAATTTCATTTTCTTCAGTCAAACAGAGTCTGTCTATTTTTCATTTATATATATATATATATATATATATATATATATATATATATATATATATATATATATATATATATATATATATATATGTACATATATATAAATTAATATACTTAAATGCAATTATCTGCAATGCGGATGCAAACATAGTTGGAGTGTAAAAATGAACATTCATGGAATTTATCACTGTAATTCAAATTTATTATCTAATAATCATAATGATAATAATAAATATACTAAACTTGTTATATAATAACAATAAATAATAGTAACAATGAAAATAATATACTTAAGGAACAAAAAATGCAAATTTATAAAAAATGAGTAATTGATTTTAAAATAATTTGTCATTCAAGCGAAAGTCTTCCCTCTGATTTTATGCAAACAAGCTCACATACATCCACATACCTACATACATACTTTGGCACATATGGATACCGTACTGTGAAAAAATTCAAGGCTATTTTAGATTATAATATAATTTAATAAATTATCTACTTGTAAATGAATGTTTCATAATACTTTGATTCTACCTTGATTATGCCATTTACATAATTAAATTCCATAGTCTCTTGCAGAATATTTACATTATTCAGACTATTGTCCCCATCTTTGTCTCCATATTTATCACAACGTTTCCACCGTTGTACGCTCTGACTTTCTTCAGGTGGTTGGAATGCCAAACTGAACCCTTTATTTCTCTCGCTAGGCTAGACTGTTCTAGTTACACAGGCCATGTCTAACGGATGTCAGTTATCAGTTATCCCGTTAAGGAAACATGGCACAGTGGATAAAGGCGTTAGTTAGATCCAATGACAGGATCCAAAGAGTGTGAGTTCAATATCTGCATAAGGCGGTGGAGAACTTGGAGAGGGGAATTAACAGAAGATAACTGATAACTGACATCCGTTAGACATGGCACGTGGAACTAGAACAGTCTTACCCCAGTGAGCGAAATAAAGGGTTCAGTTAGACATTCCAACCACCTGAAGGAGGCCGGAACGTACAACCGCTGATACGTTGTAATAAATACGGCGACAAAGATGAGGACAATAGTCCGAATAATATAAATAGTGTACATAATACCTCATCTCAGAAATATAGACAGATATCTCTTGCAGAAGTTTAAAATTTGAGGGAAAAGTATTCACTAAGCTAGCGTGACATTTGTAGAGTCAAAATATCATCTGTGAAGAAAAGTGTAGAAAACTTTCATTTACAAATGGATAATTTATTAAAAATATATTCTAAAATTCCCTTTGAATTTTTCAAGGTATTGCACACGTGCGCACGACGTTATATGTTCGTATTTTAAAGCTTTGAGGGAGTGGAGCTTTGTGGATTGGCGCTACAGAATCACAAACAAAGATCTCTACCAAATAATAAAAGCCACATCATTTGAAGATTTTTAATAAAAGCAAAAGCTAAAATGGATATCACATATTTGGTATTCGAAGAGAAAATAATAACATCACTAATATGTTGATATTATTATTACTTAATAAAAGGCGAGGAAAGAAAACCCATCAATATTGGAGAGGCTTGAACTAGAGAAAAAATGTTTCAAAAGAAGGATTTTATAAAATCCAACCG